TGCACTAAAAAACAATTGATATTTATCGTTACTGTAAAATTTTCAGAGGATATGTATATTGTAAAACTTATACTGAAACATTTTATAAAAATATTTCTTAACTTAATAAAATAATCGAACTATTTCTGGTGAAATTATCAGAAACTCAATTCAGTTTGTACATTTCTACCATAATATGCCATTGTGTAACACCTTTTCTCACAGTTTAATTGCTAATTTCAGTAAAACAACGTAGTTTTCTGTTACACAGGAATTGTTTTCGCTTTACTCTCTCCAAACGTACACTTGTATATTTAGATTATATACGACTATTTGCAATATTTCTAGAACTCCTCGATATTTTCCGAAGCACCAATCTATTATTATAATAATACTCAGTTTTTGTCTGGCCGGAAAATAAGCGCACACCTTACCATCTAAATGCGCTTGTGCGCACACTATAACGGGTGTAAACAAAAAAAGGCAGATGTAAATAAATATATTTTAGTAGACACTTTGTACAACAACATATTAACTTATTAAAGTTTTTAAAAGGTCTGACGTTATGTCGTAGTATAACTACAAGTTTATTTATTGATAGTGTTACGACAGCGGAAGTCACGCGACACTGGGAGCATACGCGCTGAGTTTCTCGAAGGATTATGAATTAATGAGGAACCCCGCGAATATTCGAGTGTATGCCAGGCGCCTCCTTTTTAGTATATATATACCCGGCAAATAAAGCCAGCGGTAGATAGATTGGAGATATAGATAATTGAGTCAAGCGAACAGTAGGCACCGTAAGTAAAGTGTGTGAATCACTGTGATTTATAACGTGTGTTATAAAAGAAGTTACGTTTAACGAATTCTGTGTATTACGAAGTTGCATCGAGGGAAAAATAAACTGGTTTTAATTAAGAAAGGACTTGTATCGCTTAAGTTCCTCGGAAAGAACTTATACAGGAAATTAACAAACAAGCAGATACCTAACAAATTGGTGTGAGAGAGTGGGAACGAAAAGTGGCCAATCAAACTACGACTTAGCATATTTGATGGCAGCAATACAAGAACAGCAAAAGAAACAAGAAGAGAGACAACAGCAGTGACAAGAAAACCTGCAACAGTGGCAGTTCGAACAGCAAAATAAACAAGAGGGATTACAGCAGTTGTTGAAAGAAAAAAAAAGAAACAAGAAGAACGAGAAAATAAACAAGAAGAGAGACTACAGCAGTGGTTGGAGGAGAAAGAAAATAAACAAGAAGAGAGACTTC